CAAGGAAATAAATAAAAGGCAACTGAGCACAATAAACAATTTTCTAGATCACATTGGTAACACCTCGCATAACTTCGGAGAAGTAGATATGATTGTCTTTGTCACTTGAAAAAAAGTGGACCGGTCGCCGACCTCACAACTCTGATTTCCTCTCAATTTTTATGAGTTCAACATCAAATTTCAAAGTTGCACCAGCTAAAAATGATGAAATGTAGGAATTAAGGTACTACTTCTAAGACTCACGAAATGACTTAGAAGACAAGCTGTTATTCAAATAAATGGGCGCTTACGCGGAATTTTTGGAGGTGCACCACGTTCTCCGTATCCTAATTCTGATGGAATCGTCAATCTTCGCTGCTCACCTTCACACATGTTTAACAAACCCTGATCCCACCCCTATAAGCCAAAATTTTAATAAATACTTACAAAAGAGATCCAACGCTACCAAGTCAAGATAATGATGTTTCGAAAATGCGCCATATTCTCACTACTGCATTATTCTGACAAAAATTTAAACCATTTTTTGAAAAAACTATCCAGTTCTTCGTTGGGCTTACCTTGTGACAAAATCTAACTGTAGCAGTTACATCATACCTTTATGACTTGTCCCATACCTAGCGGGAATGTGAATTCCTGATTGCGCGTTCGACTGCTATCGAACTCTGTTCCGTCCTCTAAAGTGCCCTAAAAGAAAAGTTCCTGTAGTAGCAAAAAAACACTAATGCTAAAGAGCTAGAAGTAGCTAAAAATCAAACATTATAGTACTCCGTCAAATCCAGATCAATCTGAAACCAACAACGTTACTCCTCTAACAGCAGCATTCTACATAACCTTTGTAAATTATATTTAATCTTGTCTAAAGCACGCTGCATTTCAATTTTCAATTCGCTTACACTACATTTAAAACTTTTTTCCTCCAAAATTTACTCCAGAGACTGATAATTATTTTTGCTACAGCTGCACAATATAACTAATTCAAAATTCTTTTTATTGCAGCTTACTGTATAATGCACGTGCACTACGTCGCCTTTCTTGGTTTTCATGTCACATTTGTCCGGTCTTTTCTTAATTCCAATCTGTAATCGCGAGACCTTTTTCTCCTGACATAATATGACAACGGCCAGGAAGCTTAGAATAATGTGCACCTGCATCTTCACGAACCTATGAATTTACAACCAGCTATTAACTGAGTAATGCAATTCATTTACTTAGAAACATAAGAAATTAGAGCTCCGAAAATACGGCAACCTTTAGTGAAACCAAAATAGAAGCATAACCATTTGGTGTGTACATTGAAGAAAATGTTTTTGAAAAAGATTATCACAAGAGCTGAACTAATGTACGTTTTAGATTTCTTGATTATTGCTTATCCCTTACCCCAAAACCTCCAAGCTACGCTGCACCCTAAACGACGACTACCTCAGATATATTACAGGTGTTAGATAAATGGAACCGACAAAATTCTGACTACACCATTTCCCAGCTAAAACTAGTGTGTAGACAACACCACAAAACTTTGCTTCGTACATAACTCCCCTCAACTGCTTGCCACCAAAACTCCATACCAAGAAACAAAAAAGCAATAAAACTCCATTCCCCATAACAACATCACGACACTTTACTGAGCATCGTCCTCCCCTCCTGAATCCAACTTCGAAGTTGAAGACAATGAAAACCTCAAAAACAAGACTGAAATCCCTTCAACCATCTAGCTAGGTCTTACCAACCCCTCCGACGAACCCCAACCGAGTAAATGCAACGCAGCACGCCGCCAAACGTTCACAAACTAAACACACATGACCTCAACCGCACCACTGAAAAATTAGACCTCGTCCCTACCGAACTTTACTAAAGAAGCACTTTCAGTGCAGTATACGATGAAAGCAAGCAACTGATGCACAGACTTCCAAAGAGATTACCTGCAGTTTTATTGACCAAAATGTATATACAACTTCCGGAACAAGCGCAAAAAAATACAAAAAAACTGGTCAATGTACAATCGAAATCAACAACTATGTACATAAAACTGAGGCAGTTACAAATGTTCCGTCAATGGACAGTAAAAGTATAACGAAGGTCGAAAAAAAAAAACACAGATTTCGAATTAATACACCACAATTACCGTCCCTTCTTCTAACCGTTAACAAACAACGGCAGGTCTAACTAAATAAAGGAAATCATCACTCCAAAAGTACGAATAATCTACTTATCAGGAACTGCAGCCGCACTCGAAGCATGAGCCCTGGCACAAGCATTATATTTCTAAAAGCTTCTGAATAATACGACAGAGCAGGAAAAAGTTTGATATTTTCTGTACAAGAAACTAAAAATTTAGAGACATTCATTCTAAAGATCAAAAAACAAATGCAACCTCTTTCATCTCGTCTGAAAGGTGCTTCCACTCCTCGACGGCTCTTATAAGCAACCCTTTCTGATCCTCGCCCTCCATCCTCGGTTTCGCCAACCGTTCCCTCATAAAAATGTTATAGCCACTCAGCGGCTTTGGAGGGCGATTTTCCTATAACAAGTGTACTTTCATACTTACCCTTCTATAGAACTGAAACAAGAAAACAAAGTACTATACCCCAATACGTTCTCTAAATGTACAGCTCAGTGGGATTTTACCTACTTGGCCTTTCTACATCATACAATCACATCCTTTACGAAATTCAGAAGAAAATGCGTTACACAGAGTTGGATGACCACCCGTTCCTGAACAACCAAAATAACCCGCTGACTTTTGAGAAAAGTAATCAAGTGTTTGAGAAGCTGTAACTAATAAATTAATTCAGAATCCAAGGTAGCGTGAAAAGAGAAGATTGGATACAGCAAGTCAGTTGCAACCCCGGTTGCTACAAAAGGATGATAATGCTGAACCACGCGACATTAATATGAAGAGAACAAGCGTTGAGAAAATTTCGCTCAGCTCATCCGTTACATAAAACAATGAAACCTAAATCTCCCTTTTTCGACTATCAGTAAATTAATAATTTGCCAGAAATCCCACATGTTTACACCGCCAAATGTTCATTGCTTTAACAGGCCGCTTGCGATAATAAATAATGAATAATAAAGTGTAAAATCCCGGCGACACTTATTTCCGAATAACGCCCTCCTCTTTTGTGAGAAAGCTATCGTTTAATGAAAAAAAATTTTTCCACACTGTTTCTGATTTGCCAAAACAATTTCCCCGCGAAGACCAGAAAACAAAGCAATTTCAGTCCAAGCAGTACATCACTCTTCAACGTTTCAAATACGAAAGCGAAGGAACTCGCCATAAAGCGCCAAGAGATACTGTGTCCTCGGTTCCAAGGTTCAACGAGCACTGCCCTAATCAGAAAAACTAATGAAACAAAAAAGCAGCATTCCCATCGATTTAACAGAAGGCAAAATAGATTACAGAACTTTAACCTCCAGGAACATCTATAAATTCAGCAAAAAAGATAACCTCTTCCAACTCCTCACCTCAAAACCAGACTTAAACTCATACTAACTGGAAAGGAAATGCAAAAAATTCCTACAGAAAGCAAGTGCAACAAAATTTTCAAAAAAAAAAAAAAAAAAAAAAAAAAAAAAA